TAAACTGGCCTGTACGATAGGCCTGAACTGCTAGAGTAAGCCTACCCTCTTGCTGAGTAAATATCACGTTCTGTTGTTGAGGCATTGTCTTTCGTACGTGAAGTTCGCGATGCCAAGAAAAAGTGGCACTCTCGGTGGGGTGGCACTCTCGGTGGTGGAATACGTTATATATATATATATATCTTTCTTCTTCCCTCTTCTTCCCTCTTCTTCCCTCTTCTTCCCTCTTCTTCCCATCTCTTCTCTTCCCATCTCCCTGCCGTTCTATCTATCTATCTATCTATCTATCTATCTATCTATGTGAATACCAATACCACTACCACTACCACTACCAACACCAATACCAACACCAATACCAATATCAACAAGCATGTATCTAGCAACAGGAATAGGTACAAGAAGAATGATAAGACTGCAGATGCGAAAATACAGCTAAACCCCACTACTTACAAAGGTCGAGCGTGTGAAGCGGTATTTAACTATACAGCTATGTGCACTAGTTGTGTGTATGTGTATGTGTGTGTATGTGTATGTGTGTGTGTGTGTGTGGTTTACTGCGGAATAACAAGTACAAAGTCTATATAATCGTTGAAGCTCCTGTTCGTCGAGATTCCCGTTCGCAAGATGCGGTGCGATGATGTAGGCGGGGGATACACAGCAGCAGCGTTTGTGCATTTGAAAAAAAAAGTAAATTATTATTCCCCCCAAACGAAGGAGGTAAAAGGATGGGTGCATGGGGGCATTCAAGACAACAAACACCATATACTTCTTCAACACGTAGCAATAGTTTATTCCGAAAAGCATATAATTCGAATATACTTGATTTTTTTTTACTAAAAAAGGGGGGTATCTAACAAGAGCCAACAATAAAAGGAACAAACATTACAATAACAACAACAACAACACCAGACGTAATACTCAAATACTTGAATACATGGAGCAAACGCCATCTGATCGAATAACAAACGTATCAGCGGACGAGCAAGACTCTGGCTTGTACGGCTAGTAAAAGCTCAGTTCGTCTTGACTGTCGTCGTCGCTATCACGTACACCACTGTTGCTTCTTCTGCGCCGCTGCTTGTGGCGTTCGAGAGATGCTGCGGGGTGAACATGGACTTGCTTCTTGCGTAGCTGAGGCCGACCAGGTGTTTTGCCGAGTTCGTCGCGATCTGAAATGTCGGCGTCGCCGGCGTCGAGCGTTGATGTTGAGCTCACATTTGAAGTGCGTGTGGAGCCATGACTCCTTGAGTAAGACGTGGAGCAAGACGCTATGCAACGTGGTTTCTTCACTGGCATGAATTCAGCCTCCGATTCGTCTTCAGTGCAACTGGACGATTCCACATCGCTGCTACTCTCAAAATCAAGTTCAAACGCCGACTCCGCATAGACTGGTCTCTTCACGTCGCGCAGCCCGCCCTCTAGTGAAGACCTCGTGCGCTGAGTGCGTGGTCGCGAGCTCAGAGTCATAGTCTGCTTGCGGGATCGAGCAGAGCGCCTGAGACCATTTCCCTTCTCTTCGGATAGGTCAGCATAAGCTAGGAACGGTGGCGTGCCTGGAGGCGTCATGTGCACCCGCTTCACAGGTATGATGACCTTTGGCGACGATGCGCGAGCCCGCTTTCCCAGCGATGTGAAAATACGCCGTGTCTTGATTGGCGACGATTGTGGTACTGCATCATCATCGAACGTGGTACTATCCCACACCGGGCTATCGGGCGCGCTGCTAGGGAGATCGCCTTCGCCTTCAGACACATCCTCTTTCTCCTCTTCTGACTGTACAGGCGTAGGAAGCAGCTCCAGGGTGCGGACGGGGTTGTGGACTTGACGTTTGACATTCTGCTGAACAAATGGCGTGCAGGTGACCCATTCGCCAATGCCCTCTTCCCACCTAAAGCCACCGCGGTTGGCCGGCGAGTCATCCTTGGTGGGTGAGTGCATGATGACTAGACGGCCCTGCGTTTGCATCCTCTTCTCAATGTCGCGTGCGTATGACATGTGCTCGGCGTCGCCTGTGCCGTGAGCAAACTCCATTGCAGACTCCAATGCCAGTCTCTTCAGTGTCCACAACTTATGCGGTAATCGGCAGCCAGATGTCGACATCAATGCCGTAACAAAGCGTTGCAACTGATCGAATCCGTCATCTTTCCATATCCGACCCGTACCGCGCGCAATCGACGAGACCAGGGATGGTAGAGGGGCTAGTATTGATGCAAAGTTGATATCTTTGGACGAATATTGTGAGGCTATCCAATTGATAATGCCGATAGAGCTAGATGTGGTAAGAGATATCATGGCCGGATCACCGATGCAGTCTTCGAAATGCAAAAGACACGATGCAAAGCTTAACCAAATGCCGCGCTGGGCCATTATCTGAGCGTCATCGGTGTCTAGGTCGAGAAGACTGAGCTCATCCGGGATGTTCTGGCGAGTAGCAATGGCAACGACAACAGCATCCAAAACTCGAGCGACTCGCTGTGCGGCCGTCTGGGCAGCCAAATCATCGCGGGAGCTGTTGACCAAGGCTATACTGCACAGCACGGTAAGGAGACTGGAAAAGGTTGTATCCAGCGCCTGTCGGAGCTCCACTCGTACCGACAATGCAAAGTGCCTGGAAACAGACCCAGTGACCTCGTCTTCCAGCAACCGATGATCCGGTAGGCCCATGCTTGCGAGGGTAACCGTCTCGAAGAACCGACAGGCGCTTGCTAGAGTGCGGGGATCGTTATCCGAGATGCTCCGAACCAGTCGATCCCAGACAGGGCGCATCGAGTCAGTCGCAACCCATTCAAGGGGCAGCAGCTCAAGAGCGACCATGTGCTCTAGAAGATCGTAAAGTAGACGATGGCGCCCCGTGCGGTGGACGAAATCCTTGACTGCGTGCAAGAAAGGCGACCTCTGAGAGTCGAACAAGTCTGCTCGTGTGTTGATGGGCATATTGGTAGCGTCCAAGAGGGGTGCATAAGCAAGTAGCAGTTGCTCCGCCTCGTCCCATGCATAGGCGTTTAAGCAGTGCGTGACGAGGATCAATGCATCTTTTAGGCCAAGTATCTCATCACCAATGGCATCGCAAACCAATGCCGTGGCGTGCGTCCGAACGACCTGGCGGAAGGGTCGCCAGCCATGTCCTTGCGCTTGTTCAAAGTGCATTTCCAGCTGCTCGTATATCTCATTCGCAATATCGCGGCCCTCGTCTTCAGCTTCCTCCTCGAGCTTGTCCAGCTCTGCAAAGTGTTCCTCGAGTTCGATGTAGGCTGGGAGTTTTCTCAAACAAGCTCCCATGAGAGACCTTGTACCTTTCCGCCTCGTATCGCCGCTTGTCGTGGTGGCCTGGAGCAGGTTTGCGTAAGCCTCCAAGGAGCCCTGGACAAGTTTGTGAACATCCCCAGGGACATCCTTTGCAGGAGGGGCCATGCTGGCTAAAAGTGGGCCTCGGATCTTGGTGTGTCTTCGCAGGGGCGAAATCGGTGTTTGCGGGCTGCTGTTCAACTGCCCACCCATTCTCGCGATCAAGGGTGTAAAGGCGATCTCGCCAGGCCGAAAGGCGTTGCCATTGGCATTGCCGGCATCTGCACTGCCCTTGCGGAGTGCTGGTCTGCCTCTACCTCGCGAGCCATATGTGGTCTTCTTGCCCGCGCCTGACTTGACGCCTGGTCTCCAGTCTGGATCTGTAGCCTTTTCGAAACCCCGTGGCTTGTGGGCCGGTCGCGTGAAGTTGGTGGTCTTTTGGGGAGAGCCTTTGGTTGCAAAGGCAGAGGAGACGCTTCGAGACTCGGCAGCTGTCGTGCGCGGGCGTTGGAGCTCTTTGCGCAGTTTTGCGAGTTTCGAGGAAAGCGGTCGCAGGAGGCGATTGCATCGCGAAGTTGTCCAAGGCAGGGTGTCGTCGGTCGACATGGCCGTAGTTGTATTGCCTAATTCATGCGGGATTAATACTTGGAGGAAGAATTGCGCTGGCGGAATATGGGGCGCGGGCTATGTCGTGTTGTCGTGTCGTGTTGTGTTGGTGTTGTTGTTGTTGTCGCCATTGTTTGTTTGTCGACGTGATCGGTGGTCGGCATCGAGGGCGCGTAGTCTTGGCGCTAACCACATGAGGTCATTGTACTACCACCACCATGTAGAGAGTTTACACATCTAATGCAGTGTCCGTAGAGCACTGTATACCGAAAGGGCCCATGGCATGCATCTGTTTCATGTTGGTTTGTTTGGTCGTGCGACAACATACGCTGCTCTCTTCTGCACTGTCTTATGACGCGGCATATTTGTTAGTTAAGAAGATAAACTTCCGATTATCTTGCCGCACCGCTCAATATCACGAATCGAAAAATGATATGCGACGCGCAGCGTTTGTGTCAACCGACATGACTTGTAGCCGTCATGTCATCCCGGGCTTCTTGGGAGCAGGATGGAATGTAACTTTGTCACGTCATGATTCGCACGCTCACTGTGCGCAGCGACGCGACATTAACCAGAAATAGACTGCCCAGGGCAAACCTGGCGGCATTGGTCCAATGTTCGCGTGGCATGTCTTGCATGCAAACACGCAATTAGGCCGGTCGTATAGAATTGCCCGGATTGCGGCCAGGAACTCGAGTGTGGTTAGAGTTCCGAAAATACTTAGCTATAAGTAAGCCTGGGAGCGTACCATGGAATCGGGACGTAAGCCTGGTGCTTACAACAGCAACATGATACGCGCCGAGCCTCCTGCCCACGGTCGGACGGGCGGATCTGTTTTGGAAGACAGCAAACGGGAATACAAGGCATGGGCGCAGCGGCTGGCGGGAGGGACTTGTTGTTTGCACGCGACGGTGCAGCGCGGATGCCAAGGCGCAGTAACACCGAGGCCCCGACCAAGCGTCGCCCATGTTTTTCTCAGCCTCGCGGGCTGCCTTTTGGGTCAACCAAGTTGCATGGATGCAACAGATCTGCACATGCAGGAACGGATGGGCTGCAGGCCAGAGAGCAGCTGTGTGTAGCGCCAGCCCTGCTGACTGGCTGCTAAGCGAAATAGTGAGCAGCAGGGATAACAGAAAGGAGATTGCACGCTGCGGCGCAGCGCGGATCGGATCTGGGCAGCGGCCCAGCCAACTTGATCGGGAGCGGCGAGAAATGACCAAATCAGCGGCGGCTCGAGTACGTGTACGCACGAGGCCCAAACACACAAGTGTCAACTGAAGCGCCCGCCCACCGTTGGTCTACCGTTCGTCCATGGTGCCCGGTGCCGTGCAATGCCACCACGCTGGCGCCATGTACGTAGCACTTGCACGTTCACGTCGCATGTTTGACCCTCAGCAGAGAACGGATCGGTGGGGCATGGGTCCATGGTTGCATTCCCAAAGGCAAAAGGAAAAAAAAAAAGACCAGATGCCCGTCCCCTGAAACTCGGCGCAAGGGATGCCAGAGCAAGTTTCGAGGCCGTGGGGCGGAGGCGGGCATTTCTCATTTGCGTGAAACATTGGCAATCTAGCAGCTTTGCAGTGTTCCTAGCAACGCACCTAGAGGCTGCTGTGTGCATGAGTAGTCGCTCGTACACTGTGGAGTGCCAATGTCTTGGCAGTTGGAGCTAAGAGCTGTCACGACAGTGAGGTCGTTTGTGGCCGTCGTGACCCCATTGCGGCGGTGGTGGTGGTGGTGATGGGTGCGGGAAGCGGTAAAAGAAAGTTTCCGGACCAAACCACCAGTGGCAGTGGCAGTGCCTCGTGTCCGCTGTCCGTTAAGACGCACAGCCTGTATATCGACGGCTGGCCGCAAACGAGGCACGCAATCCCTGCGTCTGACTGATGGCTGACTGATGGTTGAACTGGCCGTGCCTGAGACATGGATAGGGAGGCGGCATGGGCGTTTCTGGCGTCTTCTGTGGCGAGCCGTAAGGTACGTCGACGGACACGATGCTCGGCAGTGCGGTGAGAGCAGCAGCGCGATAACAGCTGGCAGCGGCAGTGGCACCGCAGACGGCGCATGGACGATCTGGATTCCCCAGTGTCAAATCCCGCGTCACACGGGGCGGGGAGGGCAGGGCGCATCCAAGCGCGAGTCTATCTGAGTCGCCATGCTAGACACGAGGCGTAGTGGATTGACAGCTGCGTACCAGAATCTGGGCTGGCGGGACCAGGCCAGCAGGAATCGTTTCCTGGACGGCAGCATCAAACGGTGTTTATGCACGGCAAAGCACGAGTCGCCGCGTTTCGAGACGAACATGGCCAGGACAGGCGGTGCGGCATTGAGGGCGGATGCATGGCTGGGGGGTGGTCATGGAGGCGCGAGAGTGAGCGTGGCCAAGTCGGGTGCGGTGCTGTATAGCGGCAGCGTCGTCGTCGTCGTCGGCGGCGGCGGCGGAGGGCCGTTGTGAGACGGCGGTTATACCGCAACGGGTGGGTGGGCGAGACAGGCCAGGAGGAGTCGGTCGTGGATAGATGACGAGGACTGGAGCCAGGCGCCAAGGCTGCGAAGGCCATGACAGGCCGAGGGCAGCCTGCAGCATTGTTCACCCAGCCGCCCGGCGACATGGCTTCGAACACGGCGGTCGAGGGCGTACGTATGCACTGCTTGCCGTCACATGTTGTCGCAGCCGGAGCCTGTGTGCTCGTCCGAGGCCGTCACCGTCACCGTCACCGTCACCGTCATCCTCACCATGTCGGCAAGGCGTGCATGACGCAAACTTTTGCGCTCGAGGATTCGTTCGGAGGCTTGAAACGCCGCCCGGTTGCTGGGCGCTCGCCTGTGGCGTCCCCTTCACCCATCCATCCCGTTTCAGCGCCCGGGGCACTCTCCACCACTACCACCACCACCACCACCACCGCCGCCGCCGCGCCCATCCCAGCCAGCTCCCTCTCGCAATGGATCCCTCGCCGACCCACCGCACTCGCTGGGCGGGCCAAGGGGCCCAGCTTTGACAGGCCCGCCACCCCTGCCCGCCGCCCCCAGGCCTCTCCTCCAATCCGCAGCCCGCTGCTCGCGATAATCAAAGCCAGAGCCCTCCCCTTCATCCCCACCGCTGCCCGCGCCTACAAACGTTGTCCCTCCCCTCGCTTTTCTTCAGTCGCTCGCTCCCCTCCCCCCTCAGCGCCAGTCATTCTTTTCCCAGCCGTGGCCCAGCTCTCGCTCCTCCCACCCCGCCGGCTTTTTTGCAATATAACCACCCTCCCCTGGTTGGGCCATTCACCACGATCCCCACAGCCCATCGGCGCACCTCGTACTCGCCGCTTCTGGACTGCATCCGATCGCCTGCGTCCCTGCTCTGTCGCTGCGTCGACGGCCAAATTAAACGCCGCCTTATCTCACCGTTGACGACGCTGCTAGCACGCCTTCCGGCCTCCCTTTCGCCTATTCACGCCCCCTGGTCGCATCAATCTCGTCTTGCCCACGCCTATTACGACGCCTGTCCATATCAACCGCCACGACCAACCCACCGCGTCTGGACTATCGCTGCATCACTGACCAGGGCCCACGTGCCATCAACCTTGTTTTTCTTCTCCGCACCCCATCTGTCGATTGCTGGCCAAGGACAGAGTCCAATCACTAAATACCAACAACCCTTAGCCACTATACCGCCGCCAACCACCCGACACTCTTAAACCGCCTTGTCGGCCGACTCCACCCTCTCCCCTCGGTCCATCACCCGACCACTTGTCTCTCTCAATCATGTCTTTTGTCGAGGCTGTTGAGGGCATCTCCAAGCGCGCAGGCCATGGCAAAGAAGATCCTACCGCTGGCCTGGAAAACGTTGACGTCCAGCACTACCTCGGATACATCTGGTGGACTATTGTCCTCGTCTTCTTCCTCTACCAGGTCGTCCTGTACTTTGTCCGCTACATCCGCACCGTGTCATGCCTGAACAACGACACCCAGCGATACTTTGCCATTCCCAACCGAACTTATGCCGCCTTCAAGAAGCACTGCCTGGATGCCCCCCTCTTCCGCACCCGCCACCACCGCGAATTCAAGCTCTCGTCTGCCATTGGTGTCGGCACACTGCCCAGCCGCCTGCAGACCTTTTTCCTCGTCGGCTACTTGGGCGTCAACATTGGCTTCTGCGTGTGGAGGATCGACTACAGCAGCTTTTCCGCTGGTGCTGGCAAGCTCCTGAGCCGCTCGGGTGTCATGGCTGTCATCAACATGATTCCTCTGTTCCTGCTCGCTGGCCGCAACAACCCCATCATCAAGCTTACCGGCATCTCGTTTGACACCATGAACCTCATCCACCGCTGGTTCGGACGCATCGTCGTCCTCGAGGCCATTGCCCACACCGTCTGCTGGATGTCCAACAAGGTCCACACCAGTAAGTGCACATTGCTAAATCGCGCAAACTCGATGCTAACCAAGCGCAGAGGGCTGGGCTGTTGTTCAAGCCTCCATCACTGGCAGTGAATTCATCATGTCGGGTTTCATTGTAAGTTGAGCACAAATGGTCGTCTGGCACTGCTGACACATGCAGGGAACCGTCGCATTCGTGTTCCTCCTCATTCAATCCCCATCCCCCGTGCGCCACTCCTTTTATGAGGTCTTTCTGCACGGCCACATTGTCGGTGCTGCCCTTGCCGTCGCCGCGCTCTGGGTCCACCTCAAGGAGCGCCCGCAGCAGCAAATGCTCTACGGAGTCGTCGCCCTCTGGGCCATGGAGCGCACCTGGCGATTTGCACGCCTCGTCATGCGCAACGTTGGCAACGGCGGCACTTCGTGCGATGTCGAGGTCATGCCTGGTGACGCTCTGCGCGTCACTGTTCGCATGGCGCGCCCATGGAACTTTCGCCCCGGCCAGCACGCCTACCTGTACATTCCCTCTGTCGGCCTCTGGACCAACCACCCCTTTTCCATTGCGTGGAGCGAGGAGGAGGAGGACCTCAGCAGCGGCGCCCTGACCGACGAAAAGGGCCTGCCCATGAACCGCCAAGACATCCTCGAGCAGCACAAGACTAGCATGTCGTTCATCATCCGTCGCCGAACAGGCTTTACCGACAAGCTATTCGAAAAGGCAGACCTCTCCGCTGCCGGCAGATTTTCCACGTCGGCTTTTGTCGAGGGTCCCTATGGTACGTTGTGAAACCGGTTTTCCCCAGACGTCGCAATTTGCCGTAAATTAATCCAATATCGCCAACCCATGCTAACGTTACTGCAGGCGGCGAAGACCTTAGCTCCTACGGCACCGTCATGCTTTGGGCAGCTGGTATCGGTATCACGCACCAGGTTCCCCATGTGCGCGACATTGTTGCTGGCTACGCAAACGGTACAGTGGCTACACGTCGCCTGACACTGGTGTGGATCATTCAATCCCCCGAGCACCTGGAATGGATTCGCACATGGATGACACAGATCCTGTCCATGCCACGTCGCCGCGAAATTCTCAAGATTCTGCTCTTTGTCACGCGCCCCCGTAGCACCAAGGAAATCCACTCGCCCTCGAGCAGCGTCCAAATGTTCCCCGGTCGACCCAACGTCCAGGCTCTGATTGACCAAGAGATGCAAGAGGGCATTGGCGCTGCCTGTGTCACTACCTGCGGTACCGGTGGCTTGGCCGATGAGCTTCGCCGCGCTGTCCGCAACCGCGAGACTCAGTGGAACGTCGACTTTCGCGAGGAGTCGTTTTCGTGGTAAACGTTTCATCTCTCGTCCCACTCGATATGTCCTTTCCCACTGCACTTGTTTATCCAAGCCTTGATCTCTATCTCATGTTTGGAAGCAACACAATGTCGACTGCAACGGGATATAAGCCTCTATTTCGCTGTACACATTAGATTCTTTTTCTTTACCAAAATCACTCTCTCTGATTATGGCTTTATTCCCTCACACACACTCCTTTTTTTTATTATTTTGGTTTATCCTGCCGAGCAGGTATGAAAGCAGCATCTTAACATGTGGTTTCGGAAGGGAGGTAATGCACACACGCGCGCGCTCAAGAGCAGCCAAATGTTGGGCTGGGCTAGCTATTCAATGTTATCCCCGTCAACCACCACGATCATTTTTTTTCACTAAGCACGGCGTTGCTTTGGGGCGTTTTTTTTTAAATCAACGTGGCTCTTTTCTGCCTGATCTGTAAATATCTCGGTAATAATACCAAGCAATGACTAACTATGAATTCTCTATGCATTGTTCAATCGACTCTCAACATGGGGGCCGGGGGGGGGGGTGTTTCTTCTTTCAAGCTATGCTATCGTGAGGCGCCGGCGCCAAATTCTAATTCGAGGCATCCACGCGCTAGACAAGTGAAGGCGTGATTTTGAGTGAAATACATACATACATACATACATACGTATTCGAAATGACAGACAAGCGCTTGCAGCTACGGTACTGAAACAACATTGGTGCCTAGTTATCTGTGACTCTACGTCCCTCACCAGCACCACCAGCACCAGCACCACCACTACCACTACCACTACCACTACCACTACCACTACCACACTCAGGTAATCTCCCCCGATCCCAACCGATGGGCCATGTTTCCTTCTTCTTCTTCTTCTTCTTCTTCTTCTTCACCCCACGCCGACGATACATATTAGCCCACATGTCCGAAACAGAAAAAAAATATTGGGTTAATCTACGTAAGCGCTGTCTCTATCTCTCTACCTTGCTCTTTCTCTATCTCTCTTGCTCTCTTGCTCTCCCCCCCCCGGTCCCTTAGCCCCATCCCGAGTTTAACGCCAGGGCGCCTACTCTGACTGATTTTGTTTTCTGCTCCGTTATCCACGTACGTGTACGTACTGTACTCCACTCATCCATCCACCTCATCGACTCCACTCCCACTCACTTAGTCGCCTGGAACTCTGCCTGTGACTATGCCTGTGACTGTGATTGGGAGACTAGGGCTCGAGACTCGGAAAGGTGGAGAGACACGGAAGGAGAGTGGAGGAGAGGCTGGACTACGGCGCCGGCGCAACAAAATAAAACCACGCGGCCCGTTTCAGGTCACCTTTGGCTTGAGGTGACTTACTTACTTTGCTCGCGGGTGACTGGTCAGCCCGAAGCCCGACCCCGACTCCGAAGCAGCAACAACAACACCAACACCACCACCACCCCCCTGGCAAACATGCATCAGGCAGGCTAAGGCAGCGAGCTGGGACGGGATCTGATTAATGCAAATGCATCATGTGGATATATGCATGGTCTGCGCCACTTTTTTTTTCTCTCTCCTCTTCCATGGGCTGATTTCTCGGATATGTACCTAGTATGTGTCCTACTTACTACTTACTAGCTGTACTGCATATCACTGCTGCGAAGTACTATTGCTATTGCTATGACCGCGGGGCTATACAAGGCTCGGTGTAAAACGTTTGCATGCGTCGCCCGAGTGGTAATGATGATGCGGTGATGCAGTGATGGCGGATAACGGGGATGCTGTGAGGAGATCCGTGTGTTACACCATACCATACCATCTGTGCACTTCCTTACTTACTTACTTGTCTGTGGATGGATGGCTATGCGCAGGCCAGTCAACTACGTACGTAGCAAAAGTGTATACCTGCATCTGGACTTTGCCCGCGCGGCCTTATCGCGTGCGCCGCCTTCTACGCGTAACTATGTCGTTTACAGTATACCTTGTGTGGCGCGTTCAAGCACGTCAGCCCACATACTTACACAGATACATGGGTAAGTACAACAGCTACACGAGGAGAGCGGGCGGGCTGGCTTGTC